CCATGAGTTTTTTCTCACTTGTGCTCTTCCAATTCTCTCCCCCATCCCACTGGGTGGGGGGGAGTGAGTGAGCGGCTGGGTGGCGGTCAGTTGCCAGCTGGGGTTAAACCATGATACTACTCAATCTTTTTCTTTATTTTCAGTCTCTTTGTCTCTCTCTTTCTCTTTTTAACTGTATACAGTGTAAAAACTGGCTCACACATGTTTCTGCAAAGAAAAAGCAAGAGCTGAGGTTCTGATTGCTCTCTCAGATTGTAATGGCCATTATTCATACAGAACTGCCTCTGTAGTTGAGAAAAAACCCTGAACGCCAAGAGTTTTTATTGGATCTAATGACTTCTTTCTAGCTTTAAGAAATCTCATATAGAAAACAACAATCCATAGCATGAAATGGAATCTATGGAGAAAAAGCATCAAAAGCACTAACTTGCAAGCATTGTTATTAAACAGTTTGCAAACAACTGGTAAGTCCAATAAGCATTATTTAGAAAGTTTTAATGAACAAAAATCATTCTTTTCCTTTAAATAATTCTGTAACCCTATGCTACTATAAATATATTTCTTTATTTTAGTACTTCAGCCTACAGCTAGTATAACAAAATGGGGAATTAAGCCTAGTTCATATATTTTACAAATTAGGACTAGTGTGTCTATGATTAATTAATAGGAAAAGGGCTACATTTGCAACTAAATATTTTGACAATGAATAATTTATCCAGGTTTACTTTTAGCATATTGGTAAAGCAAGCTTCATTTCACATACTGCACAATAAATTCTTTCTAAAGCAATTCATGAGACCAAAAAATTACAAACATAAAAATCAATTGCTCATTTCCATTTAAAACGTGGAGCAGAAATATATACAGTAGATTTAGGATGTACTCCTAATATATGTGATTGTCTAGGACGGATATAGGTTCTATTATTCCCAGCAAGAATAAAAAAATTGTTAATTTCCCTAGAAGCAAGTTGTTTGTGTTAATTTATCCATTTACATATTCCTCATCCCCATGAAAAGAGTTCTTTGTGAAAACAGGCAACTATCTAGTAAATTAAACTTGGTGCAGTGATTTAAAGCAGCAGATATCCTGTAAAGGGGTCAAAAGATAAGTAATCTTAATTTATGAGCCTTACAGTCATGAGTCATGTCCTGTTATGGTTATTATATTTATGAGGTCTAAATGACTGCTAAAATAAATAACAGATCTATGATAATCCAAAATGCATGATGAGAATGCTACATAAAACCTTCAAAAACATACTAAGATCATAAAAATATTTAATTTCATTTCGTTCACTGAGCAATTTTCAATAGCAACAATGATGTATACAAATATGCAATACTGATTTAATGAGAAACCTTAACTCTGACAAGCAGAGTCTAGAATTTAGAGTTATTCTTCTCTAAAGTTCAAATAATTGGTGGTATTGTGTTCTCTCTTGACACAACAGGAACTGAGATGCTGATGAGAAGAGAGGCAGAAGGACTGACGTTGCAGACTGTTCATGGATGTGATACTATCACAAAAAGAGGCAAGAGAAGTGAACCCTTTGTGTATCTGGCTGGTTATATAGCACAGAATATCAATCACTGATGAAAAAAATGTACCATGTTTCAAAGCAAAACTCTTTATTGTACATTAACCATAGAAACAACAGTAGAAAATTATTTTCCATCCAAAGTTAGCAAAGCTCTTTTTGCTCTAATGGCCTAATGTGAATTGACAGTGAAGTATATCCCTGGAGAACTGAAGCACTATGCTGTAAGTGAAGTAAAGACAGCACAATTCCATTATTACTGACATAAATGCCAGCTTATAAATTTCAATAAGAAGCAGGAATATTTTGAGACTTCTGTAGGGGTTTTAACCAGCGTAGATTTAGATTTTGATAATGGCTTCTTCTCTTTTTCCTCTTCTTTTTTTTTTCCTCTAGTAAAAAAATTGATAACACTGTGCCATGTCACATGTTTCATCACCTGAAAAGACAGAAAATAGACAAGACTGATCTGAATTTGCTGCTAATGTAGATTGCTAGAGCTTTGTACACGCCTAAGCCTCTGTCATACTTGTCCATTCATTTCAACCCTTCAGTGGCAGAATCTTTAAAGAGAGACAACCGCTAGTTTGGTTTCTCGCTGCCTTTGAAGATTGGCTGATCAGTTTTTCAGCCTTGATTTTATTGTATAGTACTTCTCTTTGTGTCAATTGCTTAATATTTTTGTAGATTGAAGTTTTCAGGTTTCCTTTAACTGGTAACAAATGAGCTTTTACATGACTGCACAGTAAACTGCATATGCAAGTGCTGTGGTGGTATACGGAGTCAATAATTCAAAACATGAATAAGACAGGAAAACATAAGGCATTCTTTCTAAGCTTATTATTTATTGCAAAGAAAACACAAGAAGAAAGAACTATGCCCAGCAAAGGCAATTTCCCAGCTGCTGTGCTGGCATTTAAAAGATAGATTTATATTTAAAATTCTGCCAATAGGTGTGATGAGGGCATCCGTTGGTAGCCCTGGGCTGGCTACCAATACTATCCAGGAGCTTATTCTGCAATCAGTAGAGTGTAATTACAGCCAGCACAGCCTGTGTGATCAAGGGAGAAGACTGATTCCTTGCTACCTCCACACATTTTGGCCTGTTGTTGCAATCAAGTAATCAAAGTTTGACTTTTATACAGGGTTCCTACATCTGTAACATTTGCGTCACAAAATGCTGCATTGTCAAACTCACAAGATAAGAAATTTTGAAGTTGCTCTTATTAAACAATTTTTTTATTGCAATGTTCAAAACACAGTGGAGGTTTTAGTCTTGTAGTGAGTCCAGTACTGTGGTAACATCTGAGCAAAATACAAGGCGTACTACTCCAAAAATGAACCTTAGGGAATTTCTGTTGTCTTATGTTTAGGCATTTAGACCCAGCCTGTATTTGGCAGGCAGAAAGTTTGACCATCTCACTACATGGATAACCTTTACATTGTGCGGAATATTAGGGGTGTTAATGATTGCCATGGCCAATCTCCCTCTTCTTTTGAGACAAGTTGGGAACAAGGTTATGACTACTGGAGAACTGAGTAGTCACTTTTTGCTGGAAGAAACCCACCACAATTCCTTTTATGCTCCTGCACTCAACTTCTATCATAGTTCCTAGCCTCACACATGACCTATAAGAAAGCTTTTTTCCATGGTTAAGTCTTACACCCAGGGAAAATGGAAATCTGAATGATGCAGTGATGTGATAGCATGGGACAGGAACTCACTTCCTTAAACTAGAGGCCTATGCAACCCGAAAAAAAAAAACTCAAAAAAAAATCTGTACAAGTGTTTCACTAAGTCATTCACAACCCTGCCCTCACAAATGCAAAATCTTAACAATATGGAAGCATTCTCAGCTTGCTTGTTGCAAAAGATGCAATACGATATCCTCAAATGAAAGGGAGCTCAACAGACCCTTGGTCTCAGCTCAGCTCAATATGTAAATTGACATATTTGTTATGGATTCACTGTAGTCATCCTGCTTACATCAGCTGGTCTTACCAATAAACTTGTCCTTCTATTTGTACCCACTGAGGCACTCACCATGAGAATTTCAATGATTTAAAACTTTATTATTAAATTATGCCTTTAAGTTGTTATTTTTTTCCAGCTAGGAAAAGTGCCATTTCACTGAGTGCACTATTTTTTATTTTTTTTAATTTCAAAAAGGAGAAATTTTTGATGAATGCAAAAAGAAAGAAAAAAAAAGCATAAGGGAGAGCATATTTTTCCAACTTCACATTTCTTAAAAACAGCTGAAAAGATTTTTCTTTTTCCTCTAACCTTCCATAAAGAATATATTTGAGGTCAACAAAGTAAGGAAACTCTTAGCTGCAAAGGGCACATTTTCATAAAATTATGAACAAAAGAAAATGGAAGGCTAGGTAGAAATGTTATAGGCATAAGGTTTGTATAACTATCAATGGCATAAATGCCATTATACTTTCACTAAATATGATTTCAAACATTAGCTACTGGCCTGCTCGGTTAAATATTTATTTTCTAGGAGTCCCATCTGTTTCAAGCTACCAGCCAAAAGAACTGAATAATAAAATGTACAATATACACAGTCACAAGGTACAGAACA